CTCTTTCCTGCTTACCTTGCTAGACTTATGGTTGCTTAGCCTGTTCACAAAATAGAACCGTCAGAAATCCAGTGGAAGAAAAATGTACAGTAGGACCAGCAGCTGCAGATAAATCTAGTTGTCAGACACAAGCTAAGCCTCTTCAGCAAGAAAGATTGCAACCATAAACATACTAAACTAGGAATGAACTACCATTGATAACCCAGATAATGCTAATCCCTCCTATATTGTAGCCTAGAGTCCTCACCTCGTTTTATCTGGTTATGTTTAGATTGGTGACTAGGTGTTATTCACAGAGTATTTTAACAGTGGATTCTCACAGTGCTGTGTAACCTAACACTATACTTCCCTTTCAGCTGCCTCAGGAGATGTGCAGACCTACCAGATTCGCACAGCACCCACCAGCACCATTGCACCTGGCGTGGTCATGGCCTCCTCCCCAGCACTTCCTACCCAGCCAGCGGAGGAAGCTGCACGAAAGAGAGAAGTGCGTCTAATGAAGAACAGGTATGTGTGTAGGGTTAATTTTGCTTTAGTTGTGCATAGAATTAGAGTAATAAGTGTTAAACTTGTGCAATATACACGTTGTATTTCTAACAGGTCTAGGGAAGAGTGTGTGTGTAATTGTGTATGCAAATAGATTCCTGGCCTTTCTCATCCCCTTTATGAAACACTATCTGAAGAAGGTCAGACTTCTTTAAAGATGCCAACTGAGACAAACAACATCTGGTAACTCAGTATATTGTGGTTATGAAGCCATAAGACTTGGCTGTCAGTTCGTTCTGCAAGGGCTGAGTTACCCTTTCAACTAGCATCTGTTAAGTAAATGCATTTATGCAATCTCCTTTCCTCTGTTCTTTAACTTAGCCTTCTGTGCATTCCCCTTATCACTAGTCCCCGTGTCCACCTCCCACTTTGGTGAATTCTCTCTCTCATCTCACCCATCCCCTTTGGGCACTTGCCCCCTGGGTTCTAGTCTCTGGAGGCAGCAGGAACCCAGGGGAGGGTCAGAGAAGCAGCTGCTCATCTGAGCCCAGACTCTCAGGACTCAGCAGCGGCAGCAGATAGAGTGAGGGAGAGAGACAAAGAAACTACGCTATGGGGGGGGATGTTTGGAGAAGCAGGAACTGGTGAGGCGGGAGAGAACCAGCCACTCCCCCAAGCCTGTTACACTGTGGGGAAGAAGGGCAACAAGGAGCGTGGGGTCAGAGAGAGGCTGGGAAGGAGCCTGCTCAAGTCCAGATGGTGTAGAGGTGAAAGTGGCTGGCTGGCAGTGGGAGAAGGAGAAAGGGGGTTAGCTGATTCTGTCCCAACAAGCTTGAGCTCCCGCTTCATCTCCTCCCATTTGGGCCCTCCGTGACCTATCTGAGCTGCAGAACAGGCCATGTGTTTGACGCCTCTGCGTGAAACAGTATAATCCAAGAAAATGGCAATGTTTTTGTCATCGTGGAACTCCTTACCTGAGAAGGTTGTGAAGGCTAGGACTATAACAGAGTTTAAAAGAGAACTGGATAA